TTGTTTTGTCTCTCCTTTTGAAAAATGTTATTTGTTGAAATTATACAATCATTGAACCTACTTTGCAAAATTGGTATCTTATCTCTGGAACCTTTCCATATGAAAGACGGGAAGTTTTTCAGACGTCCGGGAACTCATTAGCGTTGATGATGTAATGGAAGATGAGGAACTCGCCCTCGGACCAAATGGAGCGCTTGTGTTTTGCATGGAGTAGGTGCATTTTTCCACCTTTTCCTTATATCAGTGAAAGTACTGAAATATTTCAGATATCTGGTTCAGAATATGGAGTGGCTCCACGATGAACTTTGTGAAGGCGAAGATGATTACTTCATCTTCGATTGCCCTGGTCAGATTGAGCTCTATAGTCACCTGCCAATTATGCGCCAGCTGGTTGACGCTTTGAGGTTCGATTGCCTTCCTAGTTGAAGAATTGCATTTCATAGTGAGATGTGTATGTTTTTAGAGCTTGGGACTTCAATGTTTGCTCAGTATTTCTTATTGACACACATTTTGTGCTGGAGGCTGAAAAGTGAGTGTTTCCCAGCGCTTTGCAAGTGAGAGCTATTATGTGACTCTTAAATGCACTCACTTAAGGTTTATTGCTGGTGCGCTAACTGCTCTGTCAGCAATGATAGCTATTGAAACTCCTTGCGTAAATGTGCTCACGAAGATGGATTTGTTATCAGAGAGGAATAAGGCTTTGGTGAGATCTTCACACATTACTTCCTTTGTGTTTTTGTGATGTCCCACTTCATTCTTCTGCACTTATTTCGCAAGTTGGATTCATTCATCTGCTTCGCGTTCGCCTTTTCAGTAGTTCGTTGCTTATTATAGCAATTTCGATTTTGTTTTTGGTTTGACGATTTGCATTGAACTTTTCACTCATCATAAATTGCCTCCACTTATTATCGTGCGGATTTATCGCATAACAAATATGATTACCTGCAGAAGTATTCTACCATCCTCCAAAGTACCAATAACGCAAATTTAAAAGTACAAGATGAAGTCTAAAACGCAAAGTGCAAGCCCTTGCAAGCTATTATTAACAGTAAGATCCCGCATTTTCAGGACTACGTAAAACCACCAACATCATTGAAACTGGTTACGAGCTATAAAACTTAGAAAAGTAATTTCCTTCTATCTTAGGTGGAGGATTTTCTTGAGACGGATACGAGAAGCATTGTAGAACATGATACCACGCACATGTGGAATGAGCGACATCGTCAGTTGACCAAAACAATTGCGCAAGTAAGTAGAATGGTTCAAAAGAAGTCTGGTTTGATCTGTGTGTGAAATTCTAACAACGCCTTTCTGTTTAATGGTAGCTTTAAATGTTTTCTGGAAAGTGGGATCTTTGGTAAACATGATCGTTACGTTTGTGAGGCATCTGGGTGCAAAACTCACCTTTTTACACTTTTATTCCGGTGATGTAATGACCTTTAGCTGATTATTTTTCTTTAAACAGAAACCAAGTCAAACCATGTTTTATGTTTAAATTACACTAAAATATGGGTCTAATTTGATGATTCTTTGTTCTGATTTTTAGGTACTCGAGGATTACTCGATAGTAAAGTTTGTCCCTCTGAATTCGGATGATGAGGAGAGCGTTGAACAATTATTACTTGTAATCGACACTACTATCCAGTATGGAGAAGACCTCGAAGTTAAGGACAGGTTCCCAGAAGAACAAGACCCAGAGGAGTAGCTTTATGGTTAACAGGAAGCTTTTGGGCAGCTCCTTCATGTGAGCGTTCTTTAAAAGCAATAAAGCCTTACAACCTTATTTATAACTCCATATCAGTCATATGCTCCGTTGCTAGTGAACCGCTTGAGAGTGAGAGGAGTCCGGAAACGCTCTTGGACTCCATCATAGTTGTTGCTGAATACTCTTGTTTTTTTTTTTTGTTGAACGATCTCATTTGTTTTTGTTTCATTGATCCGTCAACTTTTTTCCAAAGTGTGATCCTAATGATGCTGTGTGACGGTGTTGCTCAGATTGTTATTTGTTGTAGTTACTGGAAATTCTATAAATGTTTCGATGTTTTTCTGCTTTTCACTCTATATTGGTAAAACCCATTGGATCTCTCTTGATCTGACATGGAACTTATATTAGTTTTCTGTTATACTCTGATTTATCCAGAATCGCTTCGGAGCTAGCATAGATTGTGCTCGGAAAAAATCCACCTTTTGCCAGCCAAGATCACCTCGACAACGTAAAAGAGCTCTTTACTCCTGAGACTCCGCAACTCTAGATTCTACCGATGCTATGGTAAAAGCCGGTGATCATGGAAGTTCCGGTAGGAGGAGAAGCTCAGGGTATGCAGATTGATCATTATTAGGGTATCTGATTTCATCTTTTTGTTGCTATAACTGCAAATTTTAGAGCGTCGGAAAAGTCTGAAGAAAACAAACAGATCAAAGATGAAGAAGTGAGAAGTTCAAGCTAATTTTGAATTATCAATAATTGAATTAGAAATTTGAGACTAATGGGAGTAAAACGACATCGCCCGCAATGCCCTCGTCAAGTGATATCACCAATGAACATGATGCAGTTGATGAGCAAGACCATGATACTCCAACGGGATCAGTACATAGCAGCCGAGGTGCGCATTTCCTAATGCATATGACCTAAAATAACCTTTCATGTTATCTCTTAGCATCATCACCTCATACTATGTCCAATCAAAACGATGGTGGAGGCAAGGACGGGAAAAGCTCATACTCTCGACGGAAAAGGGCAAGCGGGCACATCACCTCGGTTATCTGTCAGTTTGTTGACACTTCCGGTAGAGGAATTGTGGTAAGTAACTTATTCTTGTCGATTCTTTTGTCAATTTTAATTCTGATTCCTACTTATCATCTTTTCTATACACCAATGTCAGACTCATTGTTGCACTATGAAAGTTAGAACATTAGCCAATTAGTTTCATTGCCCAGTGTTAATCCTGCATATGGTGCAATGCAAATGACGCATGTTGAGGGAACGCGTTTCGCTGCCCTGTGACCAGCATGGTTCACACATGATTAGATGGAATTGCTGTGCAGTTTTAACATACACGTATTTAACTCAATATATCCATCATTATTCTTTGGCAAAGTTCTCTATAATGGTGGATATAGTGATTCTCTTCTTTTGCACTAGAATATTCGAGGTTTTTAGTGCAAACAACGAGCTATACTTGGCTACAAATTCTGCATACGACATATACTGTTGGATCCTTCAGCACCGTATAAACAATGCGAGCATCATCGGAAGCCGAAAAGTATGGTTTGCTACATTTTTGGACTTTTATTATCTGTTTGCTATTTGTCTCAATTCATCGCGTCATGCCTAGTTAAGCAATGCATTTTAAGGTAAGAAAGATGTTGCAACTCGCTGCACGAACGCTATTCGGAAGGACAAAGAGGAAAATTTTTGCAGCACCCATTTGATCATGAATGGAATGAAGGTGATTTAAGTGCTTGATTCTCGGTTTTTTTCTTTTTTAAGTCTATATGTTTGAGGAAGCCAAAAAGAAGGAAAAGAACTCGTCTGCAACCAATAACGATGGGAATGAGCAAACAGAAGGTTCAGAGACTACCCCTGTAGCTGCCATAGTTGCAGCTGTTACCGCTGCAGCAGCTCCCATTCCGCCTCAGCAACAATTGCCCCTTGACGCCCCGGTTGGGACAATTCCAACTCCCATTCCACCGACGAATGAGTCCTTTCCTATGACCATGACGACAGGATGTATTGAAGCATCTAGCATACCTCCACCTCCAGTCTCAACTCCTCCACGTCCAGCTACAATTCCAACACCAATAACTCAAGCAAATGTTGTATCAAGACAACCGATGATAGCGCCGACAACTTTGGCCGCAGCCTTGACTTCGGCACGACAAACGATGCCACCAAATGTCCCACCACAGGCGACAACACTGCGACAATATGTGCAAAGCGCAGCCGCTCACTTATCAAACACTCAGTTACGGCAAAATGTACCGAATGCGAATGCTGCGGCACCGGCGCGGCAACAAGCTCTGTTTCCAGTAGCTATCGCTGGGTCCGTTAGGGATACCCGTCAGCCCGTACTTGCCCAGCTTAATATGGAAACGAAGCGACACTATGGAGTTCCACCGGGATTGGTCTCTTCACTAGAAGCTCAGGCAGCAAGTGGAGGTACAGGTTGGATTTAGTTCTTTTTTAATATAAAAAGTGCTGTGCAATCGCTTAACAAAGTTGGTGGCCCTGCCATACTACGTAGTCGTTTGACATATGGGAATGCTGCTTGCCTCAAATGTAGTATTTGTTGCAACGGCTGACTGCGCTAGCAACAAATCATGGTTGATGGTCGAAGATTGCCAACACTTTTTTTTTTGAATGGACGACGCCGCGCATTAACTT